TTGAGTGGCGACTGCAGCCGACAGACTGGCCTCGCGTAATCAAAATTGTGCAAATGGTCTTGAACCATTCTCCCTGCTCTGCTATTGATGGAGTGGCCCCTGTGACAGCCATGACGGGGTTAAGGGCCATGAACCCCACGGACCCCATTGCGGTGCCCGAGCCGATACAGGTGGCTACACTGGATGAAATTAAGCGCAGCAGGAGTGAGAACATCGCTAGGCTACAAGCGGCGCTAGCAGACATGCATAAACACACAGCAAAGGCGAACAAGAAAAAAAGGGCTGCTAGCAAAAAACATCGTGATGGCAAAAAAGGGCGGCTATGGCGCAATTTGATGTGGGTGATTTCGTCCTTTGCGCTGATGTTTGGCAACACACTGGAGCGAAGCTCCGTGTGAAGTGGTGCGGGCCCGCTCAAGTCACTGCAGCTACATCGAATTGGATTTTTGAAATTGAAAACCTAGTCACGGGTGAGCGTAGAGAGGCGCATGCTAGCCGTTTGAAGTTCTATGCGGACAACTCATTAGCAGTCACGGAGGATCTGCACCGGCACGTCGCTCACAACAGCGAGGGGCACGTGGTGGACACGTTTCTGTCTACACGGTACAACACTAATGAAAAGAGGCACGAGTTACTCGTGCATTGGCGCGGTTTGGACACCGTCGAGGACTCATGGGAGCCGGCAACGGTGCTGCTCCAGGACGTTCCGGTCGCTGCCAAGGCATTTGAGCGCTCCCACCAAGACGATGAGGCTGTGCAAGCCATGAGTGCCGCACTGGGCCTGTCTCTGTAGAGATACTCGGTCACTGGTGTCAAATTGAAGTTGACTTGACCTGGTTGCATTTTTCCGGTGAGGCAGGATGGATACATTGGGAGTGACTCGAAGCTGACACGAAGGTGGCGTAGCGCCACACTGCATTTTACGCACAGGCTTCACAGGGGGGAAGTGTTGTAGCGCGGCAAGCGCTAACAAGCGCCATGGCAGCGGGGGTTGCAGTCCCAAAAGCCACGGCGAATGAGTTTCGAAACGAACGAAGCATGCATAGAGTAACCACGAGTTGTAGTCGACCGCAGGCTAAGCTAATATACTCACTTCTACATTTGATCAAGGGCGACAAACAACAAAAACTTCTTTAGCTGGGGAGTCGCTTCCAGCATGGAGGAGTCCGACGAGGCAATGGTGCCTCACTGTGAGACGGGGATGCCGATTGCGGTGTATTCGCCTCTATCACCGTATACAGATCGTGAATTGATGTTGACCCGGGAAACAACGATACGAACGGCGGTAATGCAGGGTGGGGAACACACCGCCAAGTTGAAGCACTGGCCCAACACTCAGCGGCCGTGCAGCAAATGACTGCCGAGCAGATTGGACAAGTGAAGCGCCAGCAGGAGCATCTGGCGACCAAGAAATCGGAATGTCTTCAGCAACAGCACGACCGTCAGTCGGCCATGCATGAGCAGCAGCAAGATATGAAGCAACAGATGGAAGAGCACCGGCGATTCCTAGAAGAACAGTTCCGGTTGTTGAAAGCGGCTGAAGAAATTGTGGGTCTACAGGGGAAGCGCCTGGAGAGCCTGGCAGAGGCGGTGCAGCCTCATCTTCAAGCGCGCTGGGGTGCGTTCGAGCAAGGAGCAGCACCTCCATCGATGAACCGCAGCTCTGAGACGCCTGCTGTCACAGTAACTGCTGGGACCAACCTGCCGGTACCCCCGATATACCGAGGCAGCTCTAAGAAGGAGAAGCGTGACTTCATGGATAGTTACGCCATCTATACACGACGCATTAAAGCGTTAAACCAAGGCACACAAGCGAGTTTATTTGTGATGCCTCTTAGTGCCTGCATCGAGCAGAGCACGATGGTGCGCATTTGTGGCTTTGAATTGTTCAAGGGTGAGAGAGATATTACAGAAACGGAATGGAAGAACTACTTTTTGTCCGCTCATATCTCAGATCACACTGCGTACAAGACCCTGGAGAGAGAAGTGAAAAGTCTTTGTATGGATATTGAATTGCAGGATGCTGAATCACGTCTTTCGCGTCTCGTGGCAGATTTTTACACTATCGTGGATCGATTAAACATGGAGGACATGATTCAAACGGAACCAAAGAAGTTGTCGGATATTTAGTGGAGGCTCTACGACCACCAGCATTTAAAGCGGCAGTGAA